GTATCGGCTTCAGAATCCTGGAATCGGCTGATGGGAGTCGTCAAGTCGCCATAGCCGGATTCTTGCTATATTTGGTTAAGGAAATTAATCTATTAAAGAAAAGCTTATCCAGAAGAGACCGAGTTCAAGGAGGATGCGGCATGGCAGTGTATCTATTAATTAGGAAAAGTCCGTTAGTTTCCTTTTTATCTTTAGGAAAGGGTGTTTAGTGTCATATAAGGACTTTATGTTTCCCTTTTATCTTTAGGAAAGTTTCTTTCTTGTTTAGCAAGTATTGTGTCTACCCATGGGTATAAATATGTACACTCGGGGTCCATGTAAACTATCTCTACGATCAATACAATTTGGCACATCACCACCTTTAACCTTTTCTACTTTTTCGACGAGTTTATTCTTATCATGGCGGCTTGCATCGGCGGGGCTAGGGCTTCGACACTTTGATCTTGTAAGTGTAAGCACCTAATCTATCATATATCTTAGTTAATTTAGTCTTAGTATCTCGATTTACTTATATCGGCTGCTATTCGCTTTAGGGTTAATGCCGGTACCGGCTAAATCGCTCAAAACCCTAACGCTATTGGCTGGTATCGGAATCGGCTGGAACTACCCCATCGGCTTGTCAGCCGATCGGCTTATTGATCTACTATTTGTATATCTTGTCAGTTGCAGGATCAAACTGACTGGCACGCCCGCATCTCATCAACCTTTGGTCCTGCACTGGAGCTAAGCAGATCTCCCAAGCCGTTGTTGTTATCGACTAAGTCCGCGCCAACACAGATCCAGCACCATTGGCCAGGCGCGGGTTTTTCGATCAACACACTGATCACTACTTTCATGCACTTACCTATGTCATCTCTCCTAATAAAATTGGACAAAGATAAGGACTAAGGAAATGTCAAATTGTAAAGTGAATCGATACGGTAAGAGTTACTTCCACCAGTCAAAGAATAACGCAACCTGAGGCTGTGGACGTTTGATGTCGCGATTCCGGTATTTGCATAGTATGGGGATCGTTGGTACTAGAATATATGCGAGATTAAGGTAAAAGAGATGGGGACGAGGATTTTTATACAGGTTCGAGCCCCTGAATTGTCAGGTAATAACCCTACTCCTGTTGGCCGAAGCCGGTCATTGCTCTTATTCACCATAATCACACCAATACAATGTTTGGGGTAGCCTATCTATCTATTGTCGACATGGCGGCCATGAAACCATCCCGTAGTCGACAACAGGGTAGTCTTCCTCCTCGAGTTCTTGCCCGGCGAGATCAGAGACAGCACTAGATTCCTCTCTTTGGTTCCCGTAGGTACCATATGGGGTTTTCCTAGGCTTATCTCTGATGTCGATATCTAGCAGCTTGTCTTGGCGTATGTATGCTTGTATTGGCTTGTGGCTTTGTGGTGTCTATGTTGTCCGTGTCCTCTCTCCTCATAAGGTGTTTTGTATTTATACTCATAGGTGTCCCCTTGTACAAGTAAAACTAGGAAAACTAATATGGATACAATCCGAGTAGTCCTTGTCTTTTCCATGTAAAACTCTATTCATCCTTCCTTATACGGAACTCATCCTATATCCGAAGGTTGTTTCTGTATAAGACATGGTATGTGGTGGGTCCTGCCGAGATTTAGTCAACTACTATTAGGTATGTGGTATCCATAACCTGACAGAAGCGACCACACAATTCAACCAGTCATGGATGGAGTATGAATGCCGGGTACAATTTGCTAGCTTAGACTGAAAGAACAATCCATTAGGTTTACCTAAATGGTCCGAGCATTCAAAGTACGGTTGTAGAGGTCGCTGCCAGATAGCTACCTCCTTTGCAGAAGAAACATGTGGAAGGAGATATTTTGTCTGCCCCAACGTAAATAACAGCTTCGTCGTACGTCGAAGCCTTACATTTTTTTCAATTTCGCTAACATTTGCATAATATTACTACCTTACTGACTAACTTTATTTATTTCTTAGGTCAATCCAAGGATGTGCGGATTCACTTTGTAGATCGACAATGTCAATCCAACATATCATGGTGAAAAAATAACTGAGTCTAATAAAACATAAGTAGATTATCAACTATTAAAGGAGCACAGAAATGCAATACGCATTGAATGACGTAGAAGGGGTCGGTGGATAAGCTCAAGCTCAATTCGTCGAGACGGACAAATTCGTATCGTTTATCCATGGGACTTCTTAACTATCTTATCATAATAATGCAAATTCTATTGGTGTGCATGTGCATACGTCCCGAATAGAAAAATAATGGCATTCTATCGTTTCGATTTATAAATTGCTTTGTCGTCCCGCTGCGTTGTCTTCCTTATAAATTAAGTACATGATTATATTTTCGTAAATATTTTTGTAGATTCTATCTTCAACTGTGTACATGATCCATCTTCAACTGTGTAAATTCGTATCGTTTATCCATAGGACTTCTTAACTATTTTATCATAATAACGCAACTTCTACTGATGTGCTGATGTATGCGTCACGAATAAAAAAATAGAGTAAAATGTACCAGCGGTCCTTAAACTTATCACGAAGTTTCACTTAGGTCCACGAACTTGCAAAGAGCACATCAAGGTCCCTAAACTTGGTTTATTGTATCATCCCAGTCCAAAGCTGCGTTTGACCGTTGTCTTGCCTACGTGGCACGCCATATGGACGATGACATGGAAATTTTTTTATTTTTTCTCCCTTCTTCCTTCTTTTTTCTCTTTCTTCCTTGTCGAAAAGACGAAAATGCTTCGTACACATCATCGTCCATGTCATCGTCTTTTCATAAAAGAGAAAAAAGAAGGAAGAAGGGAGAAAAAAATAAAATAAAAAATCCATGTCATCGTCCACGTGGCGTGCCACGTAGGCAAGACCACGGTCAAAAGTGGCTTTGGACCTGGATGATACAATAAACCAAGTTTAGGAACCTCGATGTGCGCTTTGCAAGTTCGTGGACCTAAGTGAAATCTCCTGACAAGTTTAAGGACCGCTGGTGCATTTTACTCAAAAAAATAATAGCATTCTATTGTTTTGATTTATAAATTCCCTTTGTTGTCCCACTGCGTTGTCTTCCTTATAAATTAAGTACATAATTATATTTTTGTAAATATTTTTATAAATTCTATCTTCAACTGTGTATATGATTCAACCTATGCACAATTGTACAATGATTCAAATGTTTCCCTAACTTAAATTCAAATGATTCTATATGGATTATCATGAACACGTTTTCGGAGCTACTACCACGATTTTTGTAGAAACTTTCGACGAGTGATACTCACGGACCGGATGAGTTGAGTACCGGGTACGTTGGAACGAGGGTCTACGAAGTATGACATCAAGCAGACAAAAGATAAGGATTATACTGGTTCAGGCCCCTGATCAGGTAATAGCCCTAGTCCAGTTTTTATGGAATTTATGATGGTGATAACAGATTACAAAGAGAGTAGTCGAGACAAATAATACCGACGAGATCGTAGTCGAGGGTTTCGACGAGATCTCCCGGCAAATTGGCTTCGTGTACTCCGGCTTTGCAAACTATGGTGGGTGTGTTGGTAGTTGAATTGGATACCCCTCACTCCTCCCTGGGGGTCCCTTTTATACCGCGGATCATCTTGACCCTAAGAAAGACCTGAGGATATTTGATCTGGTACGGTATAACAGAAATTCTATCCCCTCCGAGTAAGACTTTGGAAATCACTTGACTCGTTGAGATATTTTCCGTAATTTGGGACGGATTCCAAACGATATATACGGGAACAATCCATGTACGCGAAGGTATACCTTATCAGTATATTCCATGAATCGTAGGATAGAAGGTATGTCTTATCCGTAACCATGACAGAAACTTTTATCTTAGTGCTTTTAGAAACCTTTAAAAATCAACTTTCTAATATTTAATTTACTATCAAAATGCCCGTGCGTTGCAACGGGTGAAATCGCTTATAAATCGTGGTTTTTACCAACTAAATCTATGTACAATATTACATTATAAGAATAGCTTTGAAAGCCATGATATTTGTTTTTTGGAGGCCTAAAAAGTTATTTGCATTAATTTAAAAAGATTTTGATTGTTAAATCATAGTAGGTTCTGATTATAACGGGGTAGGTTGATCAATAAACTCAGGGGGCACATAAGTAATTTTCTCAGAAGGAACATATAAATTCGTACGTGATCCAAATATATTTGAGAATCATTTTGATTTATGTCTTATCCTAATTGTCTTGGTCGCTTCATCCCAATCGTGGAAATCGCTTAATAGTAAATGGTGGCACATATGAATATAGAGGCCGGGTTTCTATCTATTATTAAGAAACAATGTTTGAAAAATAATTGTGTTCTCATATTCACTGTTAACTATTTTTAGAATTTTTCATAAAGTCAACTGTTTATTGATAAAGGAATAATTTTCAAACAAAAAAATCATTCCTATAAATATTTTAATATATAAAATAAAAAATAAAAAAAATCAAGGGATAAAGCAAACAAAAACATACTCCCTCCGTCCCACAATATAAAAGATTTTGAGTTTTTACTTGCAACGTTTGACCACTCGTCTTATTGAAATGTTTTTTGCAAATATAAAAAACAAAAAATTGTGCTTTAAGTACTAGGGATAATAAAGTAAGTCACAAATAAAATAAATAATAATTTAAAAAAATTGAATAAGACGAGTGGTCAAACGTTACAGGGAAAAGCTCAAAATCCCTTATACTACGAGATAGAGAGAGTATCTGGTTTCAAACAGGATTTATAACAGGATAGTGTGACCGTTGTGTGGACGACTCTGGTCGTCGCGAATCATGTACAGAACACATGCTGTGGAATCAGCCAGCTGACAGTTTAGCAAGCCATCTTACAATGGGTCTTTTGAAGAGCTTCAGATTGTGAGAAGCAGCTTGTTTTTAGCTAGCTTATAAAAATATAGAAAAGCTGGGTTTCTCAGCTTCTGGCTCTTAGTTCATTTTCTAGATTTTACAAGTATAGTTTCTTAGAATCTTAGACCAAAAGCTAGACTGTTTAGGGAAGCTTCTGATTTTGAGAGAAACTGTAATAACTAGAAGCTCCCAAAAATAGGCCCATAGTCAGATTGTACAACTGAATCATGTCAAATGATCCAGGTGTAGTAAACCAACAATGACATTTTAACAAAATATCTCGGCAGAAGCCTTTGAGGCTTTGAGCAAAAAAACTGATAATATCTAAAAGTCGACGTTTCCATGTTTTCCTTGCAGACTCGACCTGCTCCTCTCCGGACGTTTGGCCTGCTGCTCACAGTCACTATCACCTCCAGCTACGCCTTTGGTCCTCCCTATGCCTAGTTTTGGCAAGCCTCGATTCAATCCGTCCAGCAAGACGCATGCTTTGCATAATTTCTACGAAGACCAGAATGTCAACTGATGTTCAGTAAAAGCATTGGAAATCAGGGGAATTCATGCCAGTCACATCATTAGATAGCTTTTTTATATGAGTGAGCACAATGCAGAGGGCCTCAGCAGCCATGGTCATGTTTCGATAGTTCATGGAATGCACAAGATGGATTGAACTATCATATGGGTGAGTTATTCAAACACTTCAAAGAAACAAACTGTAATGGCACAAATAAACTGGTATAACTGAATAAACTGACAATGTTTCCCTCAAAACGAAAATAAAATGACAACCTATCTAATGACTTAGCAAAAGCACCTCTGTTATTCACTTAATCTAATTAGCATCAGTCTCATTGAGTAAATCAGCAAGGAAGAGGTCCTAAAAAGTCAACATATATATATATTATTATACCATCACTATACCTGACTAGAAATGTAGCCACAACGTTCACATGTTCCTTGCTCTGGCATCCTTGTTGTTGTGGAGATCCTAAAATTCTCACCTGATTTTATGATGTCCAGTATAGCTCTAGGTCTGCACCAATCATAATTTACTAAGTTCAAGATAAAAAAAAAATACTGCAGAAGCAAGAAATAGGCTTCTCTCTTCTGGATGACAAAGCTAGTATTTACCAACAAATGACCAAACACAAATGGAAAAATAATGATCATTCCTTTGGACAACAGAAGCCTTTACCTCATCCTTTCCAGATCTTTAATAAATTCGCGAGCAAATCCACGGTATGCATTTGGTGAATATATGCCTGAATTATGAAATACAGAAAAATTAAATGGATTTAATCTCAAAGTCGGTAGAAGATAATACTACTGTCAAAAGTTCATGACATATTCAAGTATATGGCAGATTTCTTTTAGCAGAATTATTGCTAGTGTGTATAAAAGAATGATTGGTTACAGAATGCTAGTCAGTGATTCCTGAACATTTATACATAGGAAGGAGCCAGAAATTACATTCTGTGGAGAAGTAGTCCAGCTTTTTGAAATATGCATACGTGTCATAGGGTCAAGGATAATAACATACAATTGATAAATAGAGCATAAGATCACATGAGAATATATGGGATATTGCATAATAAGGATATATAACAATCTCCTTCTCATAGGTGTATTTGAAAGGCTTGCATCTTGGGATTGGCCCATCTTCGCCAGTAGTTATAAAGGTACATCTACTTAACCTATATATAAAGAAAATCAGCCTTAACATCAACCACAGAAAAAAAAGGACAAAGGAATGATCAGCACTAACCGTGCAATATCACCACGTAATATATTCAATAACACAGTTTCTGCAATGTCATCAGCATTATGTCCAGTCACAATCTTGTCAACTTTTAAGAGAGCAGCACCTCGGTCCAGTGCCTAGAAAAAAGGATTGGCAGTAAAGCTTAACCTATAACTAGTAAAAAATTGCACCAAAGAGGCAAGTAAGAATTACCTGACGTCGAAAAACACCACAAAAGGTACAATTATTTTTTAGGCCAATTGCTTTCACAATATCATCCATTGTCCAGCCATAGAGGTCCTTATAAGAAATTATTTTCAATGGCAGGCCATACTGCAATAAGTCGGTTGTATCAGCAACTGACGAATATGCATTTAAATGGTAAAAGTTGGTGATTAAATATCTGTAAAAAATAGAACCAATATTAAAAGGAAAAAGCTGCAGCAGACAGGCATTATTGTGTTGATGGCAGAGGGGAGGGGAACCTGTATTTCATTCCTTTTAACAGTTTCTAGTGAGTCGTCTCTGTAACCAGTAATTCCTTCATCCACAGATAAGAGGAACAAATCAAGACAATATTTGTGACGATGATTTAACTCTGATAGCACATATGCGAGCACGGTTGAATCTGCATAATAGCAGTCATGACATGAAAATATTTGAGTCTGTTGGAAGATCAAGAGCAGAATAAAGAAAGAAGCATGCAGATTATAGCTATACATGAAGAAAGAAAATAGTCAATAGTTGCATAAAGAACACATGCTATTTCATTAGTTAGTGATGGCATATACAGGTGTGGAAATACCTTTACCACCAGAAGCTCCAATGGCCACACGATCACCAGGTTTAAACAAATTATTCTCAACAATAGTCTGATGGATCTCATCCTCAAAGACAATGTAGAAGCATTCCCTACATATCTAGAAGAATATGTGTAAGCACTATCTACAACTGCCAAACAAAAACGGTTTTGCATTTCACAGTATTCCTACTTTCACAAAAACATTAAAAAATGTCTGTTAATCTTAAGCTACTAGAGCTAAATTATTGCACCTGGATTGTCTCGAAACATCAGGACAAACTACACGGAAAATGTGAGGGGCATAGAGGCACAACTGCTCTAGGGTTTTGGGACGCTTGAGGGCAGCCTTCCGCTCGCTGCAGCGTGTGCAGAGGCGGCTTCCCGCCCTAGCCGGAGGTTGTCTCGGGCCATCGACAGCAGAGTCCATGGGCAATTGTGACGGACAAAGGATTTTGCAGCTGAATATAATGAGTTAAAAGAACTGTTTCATATGAAAAGAAACAAAACTGAGATGTTTTAGAGTACACATAGTAGCACTAATAGTTCATTCTGGAGATGTCTCACGTAGTTTCAATGAATTACATAACACTTGAAGAAAAGTACAATTTAACTTTGTGCCATGGTTTCGAAAGCGAGAAGTGATGTGACCGTCCTTAATTTGCACAAAAAGCCACGCTAAGAAAGGTAGGTATGCAATCTTCAAAATTTCATATATTGCACTCCTATTCTTTTTCATAGCTTATTCTTCACGTGATTCAGCGAAGATAACACTCTTTAAACACTGCAATTGCCACTGGAAGAATTAGCACGAATTTGAGATGTTTTTTCACCGGAAGATAAGTTCATAACTAAGGTGTTTCTTCGTTTCAACAAACAAGATATAAAGTTCAACCAGATTTTACATTTTTGAAAACCTTTTATCTTTACATATATCAGTGGTGGAGTTGAAATGGGAGATACATCAACTCTAAATTAGAGAAATTTTTAGGATACAACTAAACAAGTTTAACCAAATTTCCCTTGTCCTAAACAGCAAATGATTCAGTGACACATTGGGTTGATTTAGCGACTTCAAACCTATTGTCTTCTTTTTCATTTTTCAAATTTCTAGCTCTACAACTAATTCAATGACTACTCAGTTTAAAACAAAACAAATGGAAGATTGGTTGGGAGATTTAAGAAGAAACTTGCCAGGTGGTGGCTTGGTCCGTGGAGGAAAGAGGGCTCAGGGGCTAACCACCTCGCAACTTAGGGCTCTGGCCTCCGTCTCCCGCCTTTTCGCCGAGAGCCCGCAAGGTGACAGAGTGCGGCGAGGTCGACACTTCGGCCGTTCGGGGTCGCCGCGTCGGGCGTCCGGGCGGCGTCGTGGTTCGGGGGACTGAGGGCAGCTACTCAGCTAGACCGCTGGAGCCCAAAGGAATCTAAGGTTACATGCTGTCTTGTTGAGCCTATTTTATGGGCCTGCGACTTTGCAGTTAGCCGAGGCATATTGGAATAAATTTAATTTAGGTCTCTCAATTTGTCGTCGAGCCTGAAATTCATCACTGGACCGCAAAACTAGATACATCGCATTCCCCAACTTAGTTAAGGTAGCAGTGGTGGTGGGCAGCCAGCGAGGAGGGCCGTGGTGGTCCGTGATGGCAGAGGAGGTGAGCAGGAGTGGCGGGGAGGAGGAAGGCGAGGGAGCCAGCGAGCTCAAGCTCGCCATCCCCTTCGCGGTAAGGCGGCAACGGCGAGGAGAGGGCCAGGAGCAGCGTTGGCAGCGGTGCGAGAGTTGAAGATGGAGGAGAATTGTCATTGGGATGGAGAACCATCGTCGGGATGAAGAACAACCACCACCCGCGCTTTGTGGCCTCGCGTCACATGCAGCGCCTACTCCCGCGCCGCCGACGCCCTCCTCCTGCAGCGGCGCCAACTCCGTGCCCCCGTCAACACCCTCCTCTTTTCCCCATCTTGAGAGCGACAGCCAACGGGAGAAGGAAGCACGCAGCGGGCGCCGGCGGCCAGTGAGAAAGGAGTCAAGCGGCGCGCGACGACGAGAGGGGCCTTGAGCAAGCGGCCGCCACCCTCACACACAAAGGACGCGGCGGCGCACTCCCGACAAAGAAGGAACTCGTGCGCCGGGATCCATCCCCTGCTCCCGCGATCCTTCTTGTCCCCATCACCATGCCGGCGGAAGCAGAACTTAGCGGCGCGTGACGGCGGCGTCGAGCGGACCCTTAGGTTGGAGTCCTCCGTGACGCCTGCCATGCGCCGTGCAACTACTCTCCCGCTGATAGGGGGAACGGGGACGAGGAGGGCAACGAGGACAGGGGCTGGGTCCCGCCGCACGAGCTCCACCCCTGCATGAGCACGTCGCTGCGTCCTTCGTGAGCGAGGGTAGCAGCAGCACACCCAAGGGAGGTTGGGACGAGGAGGGATGCATGAGCAGGGGATGGGTTTCGTCGTACAAGCTCCTTTACCAGGAGTGCGACGTCGCGTCCTTCTCCGTGCGCGAGGACGACGACCGCATGCTCAAGGGCCCGCTTGACACCGCCGCCGCACATCGCTCGACTCTTCTCTCACTGGCCGCCGGCACCCGCCGTGTGCTGCCCTTCTCCCATCGGTTGTCGTCCTCAAGATGGGGAAGAGAGGAAGAGAGGAGGGCGTCAGCATCGGCAGGGGCAAGGAGTTGGCGCCGCCACAGCAGGGCATCGGCGGCGCAAGAGCAGGTGCTGCGTGTGACGCGAGGCCACAAAGCATGGGTGGCAGTTCTCCTAAATCTCAACAGCGATTCTCCTCAATTTTCGACTCCCGCACCGTTGCCAACGCCACTCCTGGCCCCCTCCTCGCCGTTGTTGCCGTACCGCGGAGGGGATGGTGAGCTCGAGCTCCCTCGCCTCCCTCCTCCCCGACACTCCCCCCTCACCTCCCTCCTCCCCGACACTCCCCCCTCACCTCCTCTGTCGTTACAGACCGCCGCGGCCCTCCTCGCTGGCCGCCCACCGCCATTGCTACTTTACCTTTAGTTGGGGGATGCGATGTATCTGGTTTTGCGGTGGACGAATTTTAGGCTCGACGAGCAATTGAGGACCCTAAAGTAAACTTATTCCAATATGCATTGGCCAACTGCAAAGTCGCAGGCCCATAAAATAGGCCCAACAAAATAGCATGTAACCCTAGATTTCTTTAGGCTCCATCGGTCTAGGTGAGTAGCCACCCTCCGTCCCCCGAACCACGACACCCTCCGGGCGCCCGACGCAGCGACGCCGAACGGCCGAAGCGCCGACCTCGCCGCACTCAGATACCTCCAGTCTCGCGGGCACGCGGCGTAAGGGCGGGAGGCGTAGACCGGAGCCCCGAGCTGCGAGGTGGTCAGCCCCTGAGCCCCCTCCCCTCCACAGACCAAAGCACCACCTAATAGTTTCTTCCCAAATCTCCCAACCAATCGGCCTTTTGTTTTGTTTTAAACTGAGGTAGTCACTGAATTAGTTGTAGAGCTTGAAATTTGAAAAATAAAAAAGAAAACGGTAGGTTTGAAGTCACTAAATCAACTGAAGGAGTCAAACAAGGAAAATTTGGTTAAGCTAGTTCAGTTGTATCCTAAAAATTTCTCTAGTTCAGAGTTGATGCATCTCCCTTTTCAACTACACCACTGATATAGGTAAAGTTAAAAGATTTGCAAAAGTGAAAAATCTAGTTGAAATTTTTATCTTGCCCGTTAAAAAAAAAACCCTTAGTTATAAACTTGTCTTCCGGTGAAGAAACATCTCAAAGTGCTAATTCTTCCGTGGCAACTGCTAGTGTTCAAAGAGTGCTACATCATGATTGCACATATATAGCCATGGTACATGCTTGTGTTCCGTGGCATCTGTCTATCACGTATTATGAAGAGGATGTAAAAATAAGTCCACCTTTATATTTATGAAGGAACACACGCACACCCTACCTCTGATTTGGTTTATCCCTTAGCACGACATGGCACTCCAATAGCACTAGAAGGGTCCGCGCGGCGACACGCCGCACACGATAGCAGACGTATTAACTTGTTAAGTAGAGTCGTCCCCACGCTGACTCAAGGGCCGCGAGCTCCTCAGCGCCGCTGACCTCATCCACACCGAGGTCCACTTCCCCCGATCTGCGCGAGGTGGGGACAACGGCAGGAGGCGCTACCGGGGAGGGTGGTGGCAGGAGGTGGGGGAGGGCGAGCGGCGAAGCGGGTGGCTGGGCGGCAAACCTGGCCTCCTTCACCACAGGTGGAGAACAGCAAGAAGAGGCGGCTCCGCGGCTGGAGCGAGTGCGGCGTCAGAAGCGGAAAGCGGCGGCAAAGGAGGCGGAAGTTCAGATGATACGAGAGGGGACTGCATCAGATTGGGATGATATTTTTGCCAAAAAAACCCTTATGCTTCTTGGTATTACAATGCTACCTCTAAAAACGAAACCTTGTCTTCTTCGTGTTATATTTCTCAAAAATATATAGGGCTTTACAAAATTTACAACAGGGTAAAAACGGTTAAAGGGTTGCTTCGAGATTTTTAGAGTATTAAGGTCTTTATAAAAAAAACCATGTGTGAGGTTGCATTGCACACATGTATGCCTCAACTGCTTATGCCCGGTTACTGAATCGTTGCACAAACCAATGAGAAATAGAGCAGCTGACCATCGAACCGCGTGTCGCTGATTCTGCTGGCCCAATTGAGAAATCTTGTTGCAAAAAAAACATGACAGCTATTTTGAGGAGCCAAAAAATTCAAAAATAAGAGGAAATCGAAACCTACGAGTTGTTACTATGTAATGATTCGCTTTGCTTTCCGCACATTTTAGTTTTTTCATACTATATAAGCAACTTTTTGTTTTGCATTAACGATACGCGTTTGTAAATTGTTTTGAGTCGAAATGCTCTCAGATGAGAAATGAGGGCAAGGCATGTCTTGTTTTGGAGTTAGAGTGAAGTTTGGCCTTCCGCCTTAGATATATTTGGTGGTACCAGTTTAGTAGGAGTATGTAGTAGCTTAATGTTAGAAATAATAGTGGTCCAAAATACCATTAGCATGTTTCATGTGCACTTTTGCTACCTCCTGGAAATGAGAGCATTCACGTGGCCGACTCTCCCTCGTTACCTTATTGTTTTTAGAGAAAATTGTATAAACCATTCCAAATATCACCTTAAGTTTTAGAGAATTGCATCTCTGCCATCCTTAAAAAGCGGCTTCGCTGGAATGCCATCGTTAAAATGAGATTCGCTCGAATGCCATTTTCAGTGTCTGTTGCATTTGCAAAAGATTTTTCACCGAAATAATTTTTTTGGACGGTTTTGCCCCTGGACGTCCAACCACATGTTCTCTCTGTCGTCTGCGACCACAACGAGCAAGGACAGAAGGGCGAAGACAGCGGCGACCACGCCGGCGCCGCCGCCCGACGAACGCGTGTGCCGCTGCCTTTCCCCCCATCTGCGGCACTACCGCCAGCGACGCACGCGCACGTCACCGCCGTCACCCGACGCACGCGCACGCCGCTACCTTCCCCCCATCTGTGGCACCGTCGACAGCAACGCACGCGCACGTCGCCGCCGTCGCCCGACGCACGCGCCGCTGCCTTCTCCCCAATCTGCGCCGCCGCGCCACTGCCTTTACCCCCATCTGCATCATCGCCGCCAACCAACGCATGCGCACGCCGCCGCCGCCGCCGCCCGACGCCCACGCGCGCCGCTGCCTTCTCTCCCATCTGCACCGCCATGCTGGAGGACGAGGAAGACGACAGCAACAAGGACAACAGGAAGGAGGGGGCCATGGAGGTCGAGAAGTCCGTGAAGCCGACGAGCATGCCCGCCATGGTCGACGTGTCCGTCCACCGCGGGCAGCTCTACGCCAATACGCGGTATGGGATGGTGTACGCGTTCCCAAGCTGCGCAGGCTGGGCTCCGCCTCGCCGGAGATCATCCCCTCCGTGACGCGGTGGCCGAACGCGCTCCGCCGGTGGCCGCCGCGGGCTGATGCAGGTGGAGCTGCTCCAGCCCGTGGTCGTGGTCGAGGAGGGGTTCGTGGTGCGCGTGCTGGACGAGTGCGGCGAGACGTGGGTGAAGGCGGACAACATCGGCGACGTGGCGGTGCTCGTGGACACGTCCGGCACGGTGGCAGCGTCCACGCGGGAATGCCTTGGGCTGAGGCCGAGCACCGTGTACTTCGCCGTCAACCTCGTCGGCGAGACGCGCGTGCGCGCACACAGCCTCGCCACAGCGGGAAAGGGCAAGCACATGAGGATCGAGAGAAACAGAGAAGAAACTGTCAATCGATTCAACGTACGATTCAGCAGTTGACTTAGGGGCATAAACGTCCGAGAAAAACTAAAATTGATGAAAAATATTTTTGAAATAGAAAAAGGCCCGAAGGTGGCATTTCAGCGAATGCCCCCAGATTGATAGTGGCATTTGGTTGAATCCCATTTTGAGAGTGCCATTCTAGCGAAGCTAGTTTTTTCGAGTAGCATATATGCAAATTTCTCTTAAGTTTTATGATTCCCTATATAAGATGGTTTATTGCAAATAACCCCTCTTAATTCACCAGTTTGATACCTCTCCCCAATTGCCTTTGCTTGTGTGTTTCTTTTTTGTCTTTCCGCATGTGTTATACAATTTAGTGCATATATTGATGTACATGTCCCTAAACATATCTCACCGAACCCCAAGAGGCAAGCGCAACAGTTCATTAGTGACTAAGATGTCCAAGAGTGAAGACTCATGACAACCACTGTCCAATGAAGTGTTGGGCGCCATCACTGGGAATGCCACAATCATATCATATAGGGCATGACTTATGAGTGACAACCATAGCTCCTCATCTAATAGTATTCATATGAGCGTATATGGGTGTATATGGGGTTTGCGATTACAAGAATGGGCAAGCAACAACATTTTGGGGGTGGGGGGATTTCAAAAGCAAAGGTGAGTTAGGAGAGAGAAGTGGTATTTGCAGCAAACCCTTTTTAGGGGAAAATCTTAAACTCAGAACGATATCTATCATCATTTTTGCAATTTTGTACGCATGTTAAGTCCAAGATGACTTCCTTAAATATAGGTTGGATCTAATTCATATCCCTCAACCGTAAAATCATGTATAATGTCCCAAGTATTAAAACCATTCAAAACGACTTCCTAGGCTGTTTCGAGAGTGGTTTTGGTGACGTGGTGTCTACATGACAATCCAATCATCAATAAATTTAAAAAAATAGTAGGCCTGTGGAGATTATGGGTACCCCATACCCACACGGCATGGTTATCCGACTAGTAATAGGGGATAACATATATGTATGGAATATGTAACAGATCATGACTTGGGTATTACGTTTCCTTTTATATTATGGAGCGGCCTAAAGTCCTGATTTGATAATATTGTAAAGTAGATTTAGGAAGCCGATACCGTGTTGGTTAAGGTTTCTATTTTGTAATCCTGCCCCCCATCCTATATAAGGTGGGCAGGAGGCCCTCTAGGGGGCATGAGACAACCTGATCGTCAGATCAATACACACCCAGCGGATTCAAATCCCCAAACAGGAGTAGGGTATTACCTCTCATTGAGAGGGCCTGAACCTGTCTAAATCCTTTGTCTCTGCATCCATCCACTTTTAGGTCTCGTGTGCTACCCCTTTTTATTATTGCCGAAATCATGTTTCGACAGTAGGCCCCACATGTCATCCTTTCATCTTTTTCCTTTCTCTACCCCTCTCTCTTCCCATATCATCTTTAGTAGGGCCTGCAGGCGGCGCTGCACTGGATGGCATGCTTGCTCTCCGGCGCCGGGGACACGCATCATGCCCCGCCTCCCGTCCCATGTATGCAAGCTCCGTTTTGACTGTGCTCTGCTTCGTCTTTATGTGTGTGCAAAGCTTAGTTTGCTTATGGCTTCGGTTAAAAAGTTTGCTTATGGTTGGCTGCCGCAGGAATCCTAATTAGAGCGCGCTAGCTAGAGAAGTCGCGCGCGTTTTCTGACCGCGTCACGATAACGCTAGCTAGAGAGATTGGACTCGAGGGTGGGTAAGACCCGGAGTTACGTGTACGGGGATAGGTGTATTGAGAAAAAAGGGGTTAGGGTTGCGGGGTGGGGTAGGGGAAGGTGGCGCTGGGGCCTGGGGAGGGGGAAGTGGGGGATCGGGTTTAGAGAGAGGGTCTAGGAGGCGGCGGACCGGCGGTGGGTGGCGGACAAGGGCGGGCGGCGCCGCCGCCGCCGGAGCCGCTGGGTCGGCCGCGGGCGGTGGGCCGGTGATGGTGGCGGGGGCAAAGGGGAGAAGGTCGGCCGGGCGGGGCCACGCCGGCACGTTGACGCCTTTCGGCGCTGGCGAGGCCGGGGCGGCGGCGTGGTGGGGGTGGTTGGGGGGGGGTGTTGTTGGACTGCTAACCTGGCCGAGGAGAGGAGGAAGGGGACTCGCCGGCGTCGCCACTCAGCTCTCGCCTCGTGGCCGCCGGAGTGATGAGGGGCTCGTCGGAGGTAAGAAGAGCGGGCTCGCCGGAGCCGGAGCCGCCGCCGCCGCCGAAGGGAAACCGCCCCTTGTCGTCGCCGCTGCGCTCGCTCCGACTCGCGATCGAAAGAGATAAGGGAGAGAGCGAACGGCGGGGTCGTCCGTGTGGAGATAGTGGAGGGCGGGGCGGGCCCACGCGCGCGACTTGGCCTCTTGGCGCGCGCGAGAGAGATAGAAAACCCCGCGCAGTGCGAGTAGGGGTGAAGTAGTAATAGCCTATGCTAACGCTACGACGACATCTAAAAATACAAATTAAGATTGATGGATATATTTATTATGTTATTAATTAAATTGCCACATTTATAAAAATTAAATAACATAGTTATTATCCTTGTTCAAATGGAGTCATTAGTGACAACATAGCAAACAATCTCTATGAAAGGATCCGAAATGATCAAACTTAATATTCGACGTGCATGATGAGCATAATGGAAAAGAAAGTAATTTGCGCACCATATTCTATAGGTGGATAGTGTTTTAACTATGCTGCACAAATTATTTTCTAGAGCTAGCTTCGTACATTAGGGTGGATTGTATTTTAGTAACCTCGAGCATTTTTCCATGAAAATCAGATATAAACGCAACTTAGATAATAAAAGAAGTGAATATTTTACGTGGCAAGGGGTAAATAATTATACACCTTACTCTGTTCGTGCAAACAAAAAATGACATACCCACTTAACTAAAATCCAGGTAGCGTTTAACTATACGTGCTACACAAATTAAACTTTGATGATAAACTGGATAATTATTAATATCTAAAAACATTGTAATAACTGAAACATACAGGAGCTAGCTTATGATACACAAAAAGATGAAATATTTATATATTGAAAATTCGTTGATATGCGAAAGGACAAAATAATAACTAAAATAATAGGAGCTAGCTTTTGAGCCGATAGAAAAGCAGAGATCTAATTTTATATATGCATTACGTATTGATCATACGTCATCTTACATTGCAATGTGACCAAAGTAACTAATCACATTAATCTATCACCATATATAGCACTGACAAAAAAATGCTAATAATGATTCAGTTTTACAAAATTAATCGATTGTCTTTTGGGCTAAATAATAAAAAACTATCGCCAACAGAATGTGATACAACACCAAGTCAACCGGGCTATTTAACATGTCAAACTTCCACAAACGCAGGTTGAGGCTGATCTCGCCAATGAAGGAGCAGTAGACCAATTGGAGCTCAGCCTTCTTGGCAGTTCCAACATCTTCCCTCCTTAACAGCACCTCAAGTAACAATGGGATTGAAAATTAAGAAACACCTCCTTAGTAAATAATAGCAAGTGTACCCATAATAAATGTCTAAAAAACACACTCTTTCGTTTGCTTGTGGAATCAATTGTTAATCTACATGAATCAATAAAATTTTATATCAAACATTTTTGTCAGCAATACAACCAAATATCTATTGCATCGAACAATATACGCCAAACAAAAATCCCTTGACCATATTAATCATTTTTACCCAGCAGAGCATTTCACTTCTGTAAGCAAATAAATACATAGTTATTCCTCTATGTAGTTGGCCATATGGCTAGATGGATATGCCATCACAAAATTAACCCAGTGGTGATTTCATCCCAACTCCGAGCAAAGTATGGTCAAGGTATTAATTTCAATCCAGTGCTAATTAATGGAACAGAGCTAACATAGTAAACAGCAAAACCTATCAGATCAATTGCTGGAGCACTCCAGTTAGTTTTGGATATGCATGTTGATGTGAAAGAATCCGTAACAGGGATATCTCTAAGCAAAATATATCATCTGACTTACCAGGAAATTTGGAAATAGGAAATATAAATTAAGCAAACGACTTTACAGTCCCCTTGTGGACCTGAGTCCAAATTCACGGTAGTCCTGTAAGTATACCCTTCCGAATTTTCATTTTACCTGTCAGTAGAATATAAATATTGGTTCATGAATAGTATTTGAAAAGGCATCGTGCTAATATTAATCAGAGAACATGAGAGGTACCTCAACTCAACGCCATAAATTATTTGCTTCCACTTGTAAATGCTACAAAGAGTTATTCAGATGTGAGTTGTTCATAATTGTTCCACTGGATTAGTTTTTCCTGGTAACTGGGAAGAATAAGCATGCGATGCCCTGCTGCAATGCATGCGTTAAGAAACAAATTAATTAGTTCTCAAATGCAGTTAAGAGTAACAAATTGTCATGGCTGGGCAATGGCCTAAGGTTATATGGATGGAAGGATGAAGGCTGCAGCCTCTGTTGTCGTGATTGGCGAGGTACGATGGTGGTGGTCCTGTATAGTGATCAATAGAAAGGACATAGGTAGAAATCAAAAGAAGCTTTTGAATAATATGATCAACTCAATAGATTATATTTGTGAATCACTGTGAAAAAAATTCAGCACATTTCCATGCGCACAAATGCTATGGGATAAATTCATGGCCAACAGCAGTCTCTATATGGATAATCTAATACAAATAGGGGGAATAAAATCAATATTCTCAAAGATATATGGCTGTCCTAGAGAATAGAGAGTAGTATACCCTGATAAAAATTGACAGCTCTATCGGAACTATTAATAGTATAGGTAAAATAATACCTAAGAAGCTATTAGCTAATACAAAAGAGCATTCAAGAATAACCTTCTGCTAGTGAAACATCGTTCACAGTACAGTAACTCAGTAAGAGAAAGAGCTCTGAACTTCATCGTTTTCTGAATTGTTCTGAAGTTCATCATTCTGAATCTGCTTGCTACATCATGTGCTTAACTGTATTGACTAAATAAGGACACAACTTACATGAGCAGCTTTTATAATTTAAGTAAAATATCCTAGCTTTTATAAATTAAGTAAAATATCCTATATGCTGACTAACAGACATACTTGATGACCTTCACAGGGAGCTGTTGGCAGCCAAAAATACAAATTAACAAATCATTTTTTACGGTAATTAAGGGGTCAACACAAATTAAGTTGTAGTTATGTGCACTTATCTGAAGATAGCATTATGTAGTTTGGAAAGGATATGGTGTCGAGGTGGGTAAAAAAGTGTCAAAATCCTCAATGATAGAGCAGAATTGGGCAGTGAAGCATGACCTGTTCATCAACATCGGTTTCTTACGCCAGCAAGATCTTGATATCCTCCCTTCTCAAGCGTTAGCTAGATCCTATATACATATAACTCCTGTCAATTCCACATGCTGGAAAGCAAATATGAAAATTATTTATAGCAGAAGAGACCTTTGCGACGGCACATATGGAGGCAAGATCGGCCGGCTGGAGGAGCGCAGACGGAGGCGAGATGTGGTGGTCGTCGATGGAGATCAGACAGCGGTGCCTGAGGGTGCCACTGGTGACGCGGCACAACGGTGACCTAGTGGCGAGGGATCGGCGGCGTGGGGGCGCAGCGGCGCCTCCGGAGCGAGATGACGGCGACCTGACGACGAGTGATTGCGCGAGGGATTGGCTACATGGGGACGAAGCGTATTGCGGCGGGGCACGGTGGAGAGCGGAGGGATTCGCGGAAGGGAGAGAGCCGGCGGTGGGTTACGTTGTGACGAGAGGTGCCGCCCGATGCGGAGGAGATTAGATGCGCAGATGCGGAGAGAAACGTGCGTCTGCTTATCGATCCGAACCGTTGGATCTGGCAATCGGATGGTCCATATTATGTGTGTCTGTCAGTGCTGGCTTCACCGCCACCAGACTTTTTAAGTAAAAAATAGAGAAACGGGTGGCTAGGGTCGGATTATGGCATTCTCATATCCTAACCCATATTTTCCTTTAAATTCGGAGTTGGGTACAGGTAGTGCCGAATAATATATCACTCATCCCGTATCCTATCCCATATTATTTTCTTCGAATCGGATTTGGAAACTGATATCTATTTGCACCTCTAATTCATAGATATTAAATATAGAGTAAATTGCGCTCACGGTACACAAACTTGTAATGTGTGTGCAATTTAGTGTAAAAACTTGTAAAACTTTTATTTTGATGCACAAACTTGTATAGGTGCGTGCGAACTATGACTAAATAGAATAGCAAAACTAATTTTGCTGAGTTGGATGATGAGTAGACCGCCAACTAAGCATTCACGTATTCACGTAAGGAGGACAAACTTGCATGCTCTGCTGCTCATATGCAATGGCCCTTTTTTATCAGAAAACCCCTTCTATTATTTGGTATTTAGATCATGTATAATTTCTCGGTGAAAAGAATCTGAGAGGTGTTCATAGCGGCGGGGAGCCGGGGAGGTCGAATCCACGCGTGGTGGCTGCAGCGATGTGGGGGTCGAGTTTGGTGGCAGTAGCAGCGGGGAGGTCGAGCCCGACAGCTACGCCGTTGGGGGAGTCGAGTCCGACGGTTGCTGCAACGGGTAGGTCAAGTCTGGCGGTGGTGGCTGCAACAGTAATCAAGTTTTAGTTTATTTTGATGCTGCGGTAGGCATATGAGTGCCTTGCTTTAGGCCAACATCGGTTATCTCAGACTGACAATTCATATAGCAACTTTGAAGCCTAGCTCCAATGCTTCAGTGCAGACATTGAAGCAGCAAGGAATTAAGCCATTGTGCCGTCAGATTAACCGCATGAACATTAAATCCACTGAAGCAGCAAGGAATGTAATGCTTAATTGTACACATTGTGACAAAATCTGAACACAATGAAACTTCTGAGTGCATATTTTGAACAGAAACTGAGATCCTGAATAAAATTCAGTGAATAACTTGAACGAAAACTAAATGCATAACTGAGTGCATAGTATAAACTACTGTTTCTTTTTCTTGGGAGAGTTTTTCTTCTTGGGTGCTGCACTTCTCTTCCTCAATGTGGCCCTGCCCTCTTTTGTTGATGTGGTTAGTGGTGGTTGAACCCCTTCTCTCCTATTAGTAGCAATGAAAGCAGACTCTGGCACTGCTCCTGGATGCACCCTTTCTTGATGGTTGCTAGCAGCCTATGAAAGATTATGTACTAATTTTATTATGGTTGCTATTAGCCCACAAATGCTAGCTTAATGAAGGATTGTTTTTTCTTTGAGAACTTAACGAAGGATTGTCACCTCCTTAATAAAAGCTTCCACCACAGATGAACTCAGATAGAATTTTGTTGGGGTATGCTGAGCAGGTGCATTTCCTGAAACAAATATATGTTCTATTTAAAATTCCTAGTTAGTGCAGCTAAACATATACACAAGCAAAATGAGTATCAATAGTACCTGAGTGATGACAGGTTCCTGAAACAAATATACAATGTGTTTGAAATTCCTAGTCAATGGAAATAAACAAATACACAAGCAAAAAAGTATAAAAATTACCCGAGTGATGACAGGCTCTTCTGAAGCAACAATTGATGAAGTCGCCATTTGCTGCATAGGTTGCTTCTGAACTTTTAAGTCAGCCTTCCTCTGTTTACAACTAGTCTTGTTGTGACCACCATTTTTTCAGTAGCTGCAATGCATCTCTACTCCATGCTTTGAAATTTTAGTCCCACCCTCGAGTTCTTGGAGTTGTTTTCTCCTAGTTTTCTTTGGCCTCCCCACTTTCTTCTCATATACTGGTGACTTCACCTCTATACCCTGCATCTTCTCCCAGTGGATACTATCTCTCAGTGGCATTATGTTGTAGCTATAAGCTTGTTCATAGCACCTGGTTGAATAACAAAATGACACTACATCCTCTGGCTTGATCCTTTCATGTCTTAGACAGGAAATGGCATGGTTACAAGGAATCCCAGTGAGCTGCCACCTCCTACAATCACATCTCTTTACATTAAGTTCAACAATGTATTGAGATCCTCTATCGCTAACCTGAAATACTCCCATCCCAGTAGGCAAAACATAGCATGTATTAGCCATCTCTGTATTTTTCTCGACCTTCTGTTTTATTTTTGGGCAGATGCCACATGGCCAATTCCTTTCTAGTTCTTTTTGCTTGGTGTACATCCTGTTCATAATCTGATTTCTAATTCTCTCGAGCATAGACAAAATAGGCATCTCCCTGGCATCAAGAATGTACTTGTTAAACACTTCTGAGTTATTGTTGAGAAGGATATCACACTTCGGAAAGTCACCGAAAAAGGCTCGACACCATTGGTTTGGAGGAATTTCTTCAAGGTACTTATAAGCTTCACTACTTAATGCCTTCATCTTTTCCATATTGGCATTCCACTCGGGCACGGTACTAGATCTTGCAATAGCCCAAAGTTGGTTCTTTAGTGTCTCCCCTTTATGTAACACTTGGAAATTTTGATATAGATGCCTCACACAGAATCTTTATTCAGCATCAGCAAACTCCCTTCTCACAGTTGGAACAAGCCCCTGGAAACGAATTAGAAATAATTATAGTTAGGAACTGAAATGTGAGTTATGTATATTATGAAAATTCAGACGAAGTCATACCTTCTGCCTATCAGTCATCACTGTCCAGATATATTGTCAATGCCAAGGTCTTCTTTTAGAGTGTCAAGAAACCAACTCCAGCTTCTCAACTTCAACTACCGCAATTGCAATGGGAAAAATGCAGTCATTTGGGTCCATACCAACAGCAGTTAGGATATGGCCGCCAAATTTTGTTTTAATATGGCATCCATCAATGCAAATGATAGGTCTACACCCAGACATAAACCCTCTCTTGCAAGCATCGAATGACATATGCAAAGTATGGAAGCAACCAGAATGTAGGTTCAGGTAGAATGAGCTCCCTGGGTTAGAGGTTGTCAATTCTTGTCCATAGTCCCATAATTGGTTGTACTGAGATATTTCATCTCCATATATGGCCCTCATAGCCATCCTTCTAGCTCTACCTAGCTTGTGCCTAGATGGTGTTAAGTGGAGTTCCCTCTGAATTTTCTTAGCAAAGCTCATCAGTGTCATTTTGTCATTATCTCTAAACTCCTCAATGTACCTTTTTGCAAGATACTTAGTTGTGACGACCTTGATCTCCCACCGTTTAGAGCAGGTGTGCTTCTCTACATATTACTTTACCACTAAGCATTTAACTCTATTATCCATAGATGCAGACAACATCCATGGACAACCTTCAGCACACTTAGCTTCAATTCTTGTTTTGGTATTCCGTGTCTTCTTAATAGCAACTCGGTTCTTTATAGTATACTGATCTATTGCTTTCCTAAGCTCTACAACATCTGCAAACATCATGCTAACCTTGAACTCAGGTGTCTCCATGTCTACATCAGCCCTAAAACTCTTAAAACTGAACTTAATTTCTTCTTCTTCTTCTTCAGAAATATCTGGCATCATCAACCTTTCATCTTCAGATGAACCATAGTCTGAACCCTCCTCTTTATTATGCGCTAACTCAATTTGCCCTTCAACACAATTATCAAACAAGTCATCATCCCCATGATCAATCTCATAATCACTATCAACAAAATCTGGATCTTCAATTCTTGACTCCTCTTCCTCATCAATTTTAGAGTAGGTAGCACATTTATCTACAATCTTTTCCCCACCATCACTCTTAGCCCTAATTATTTTAATTGGTTGCACAGCAGCACGCAAAGTATCTGAACCAATAATTGCCACATCATCTAAGTCAATACCATCGACAATGTCTTGATGATCTGCATACAAAACAAATGATCTGACCCTAGGTACAAGAGCGACCATACTATTAGTGTCTGCATCACACTTAACCCTCCTCAACCCATCACTTAATTCTTTGCCAGGAAGCAACCAGTAAATTTTGGTGTTCTCAGATTTGTCATATCCTAGTTCTTCAATGAAATCATCAATCCACAACAGTGACCAAGAATCTGACTCACAATGGTCAAACCAGCTCACTCTACCATCAACATAAGCCCGGTTTACACCATTTCCCATAAAAAAGCCTCTGTGGTGCATCTCAATGCTGAATTCTTCATCTTCAGAATCTACATATATTGTATACAGAGAATTATTCATCTTCAGAACAGTTTACTTTAGGTTCAGATGTTTAAGGGTATGTCCAGGAAGAAGGCATAGTTAACAACAAAAGCTAGCAGTACATTAATAATCAAATTGCTCTCCAAAAATACTAGAGTACTCAAAATACTAATTTGCCATAATCACTGCTATACCATAAACGTCAATAAAAAGTACAGCTTTTGTGTACCATGAACTAGATCCTGGCATAAATTAAAACAATTGATCAATAGTCCTCTCGTTTGCAATACCTAATAAATCAACAATAAGAGGAACAAATCTCCACAAAAATTGGAATTGAGAAAGACAATCTCATTTTTGACCATATAAACTAAAGTACTCATTGTATACAGGAGATCGTGCACCTTCACTTCGCAGCCCTGGTACCATGTTGCCTCAGTGCCGGCGGCAACGTCCTACCACCGCTGCCCTAAACGTGGCCGGCGCGGTGTCTCCCTGCAAAGCCCTACCGCCTGGATCCAATTCGCCGCCTTCAACCTTGATCCAAATATCAATCTCCTGATTTATCTCTTTCTGTTGCTAACTCAATTGGCGTCAGGCGATCAGGAAACTGATCTCTAGCATGGGCATCATCGTGGGCTACAACACAAAAGGAGGTTTAGAGGAATCGAAAGATGTATGAGGGGTTATTTGCAAATATGTGTAGCCAGCTCACGCCCCACATAACGTGTGTAGCGTTGATGTGGCATCCTAATCACAAGCCAACTCAATAAGATTGGCAATGAAGTCATGTATGTATTGGCCTTGCTTCGCACGCACTACACAAATTTGTGTACCGAAACGAGAGTTTTTCAAGTTTTTGTACTATTGCACCCACTGCATAAGTTCGCGTACCGTCAATGTCAATGTAATGTACTCTTAAATATAATAAGGTAATTAAAAAATTAAAAGAGATACATCAAGAGAAAAATTATATAATATTGCATGTGAGCTCGTAAAATAGCGATTAATCAAACTTTTATCATGTTTATAGGTGCATTTATAATACATTTTCATATATATTTTATAATATGGGACATACAGGCGATACATGTTTTCCCGTATCCTAAACCATATTTTCTAACAAAATAGGTTTCGAACTCGGATAATATCGGATATCCCATTATTTCTCCCATATTCCTCCCGTGAGCCTCGGGTCGGGTGGGCGGGCGGGAAATACCCGCCCATTTTCACCCCTAGGTGTGAGTAGGTGGCATCGTGCATAATATAGCAGTTGAGTTCAGGGCGACAACGGGATGCAGCAAGACAGAGGACGTGGCAAAGAGCATGTACGAATAGAGGTTGCTCGGGCGCTTGGCTGGCGATGCTGCAGGAGCCCGACGGACTTCCGGCGAGCCTTCCGCATGCCGTGCGCAGTGTTTGACAAGCTTTGCGACCACCTGGCCACCGTCGTCACCAAGGAGTACACCACACTGCACGGTGCACGCCTCCATCCCTGTGCCCCAGCGCGTTGCCGTCTGCCTCTGGCGCCTCACCACCGACAAGCCGCTCCGCGAGGTTTCGCTCCGCCGTGATGGGGACCAGGTTAAACCGAAAAGGTTTAACCGATTTGATCGGCCACCACCGAAATATCGAAATTTCAGAATTTCGGTCCGAAACTTCCGAAATTTTGGACAAATTTTAGTTGAATTTGAACAAATATTACCAAAATTCATGAAAAAATTTAAAAATTTTGGTCGAAATAATATCGTATCGGAGGGGGTCGAAATGACCGAAATTTCGGTCCGAAATTTCCAATCCTGATGGGGACTGAGGCAGATCGATCGCCCTTTCGCGTGGATCTCCGCCGCCGCCACCAGCCCGTAGCCCAAGGACCTCCTCCCCAAAGTCGCCCACATATCTTTCTTCATGCTCTTCCGCTCACTGTTGCGGTGCATGACAAGGCCCTCAAGTCGGAGGCAGATCGAGCAAGGGAGCTTGGTGGAGTTCAAAGCGGAGGCAAAGCGGCGGGGCTGCGCGGAGATGTGGAGGCCCTCCGAGAGCTCGATCGCCAGATCAATTGGAGAATGCGAGCACGGGGCTGCATCGTCATCGTGGAGGGCGGCGCTACCAATGCCGGAGAAGGAGGTGGCGCAACGGCTCGTGAGGAGGGCGGCGGCAGGGCGACGACGACGACGGCACCCCGACGTGGCCAGAAGGCCATGCCAAGGGCCGCTTTCCTTCCTTCTACCATGCCTTCTCCTCTGCTCTGCTCTTGGCCCGCTGAAGCTGCCGATGGCCGTCCCCCCTAGTCGAGCTAGTCAGTGTCATCGCTGTATGCCTATGAGGGAAAGAAGAGGGAACAAAGAGAAGAGGAGGAGAGGAGAAGAAATATGTGACACTGATATGTGGGTCACGCGTGCTTACTAAGCTAGTTAGTCCAGGTCAACGAGCTATATTAGTCTCAAAAATTGTCGAGTGAGTCAATTTAAAGTTTTAAACTAGTTTCAATAGTTTGAGGGTTAAGATACTTGTATTATGGTTGAGGGATACGAATTGAGGGAGTAACAGTGGACTTAATCCTGTCACATACAGGCATATACTGGGCTACCAGCCCACGGTTCATATTCTCATCGTTTTCACCAGAAGAAGGGCCTAGGCCTCGGCCCACGTTTCACTGGGCCACCACCTCGCCCAAAGGAATAAGTATACTTTAGGTTCCTCAATTTGTCGCGAGTCTCTTGAGTGCAAAACGAGGTACAACGCATTCTTCAACCGATAAAACCGTGCAAACGATGTCTCTCGACAGTATTGTGTTCTGTTTTAGCTGACGTGACGCCTACGTGGTTTCTTTGACTAAGTCTTCGTCCCACGTGATATTGACGTGGCACTTACCATGATAATTTGAACAGTTCACACGCGCCGAGACAGCCGTGGGCATCACCGGGCACCGGCCAAGTCGCCTCGGCGCAGCGCGTGCTCGGTCCGCACGCGCCCCTAGCTCCGCTCCGACGTTGCCGCTCCACCGCTGGCTCCTGCTCCCCGTCCCAATCTCCCTCGCGCACCCCTCGCTCATCTCCCGAATCCACTCGTAGTGCATGTCCGCGAGACCGATCGATCCACCGCGCCGCGCGTACGTCGTTCGGGTAGGCAGGCAGAGGCAAGGTTTGTACTGAGAGCGTGCAGCGGCGTACGTGGTTAGCGCTTTGGCACAGCAAGCAGGAGGAAGGCGCGCGCAGGTGTATGCATGAGCAAGAAGAGGAGAGAAGGAGGCGGCGGAGGAAACGGCGGCTGCGACCCGCCGGCCGTGACCGATGCGCTGTCCATGGACGGCGGCCTCCGCGAGGTGTCCCTCTCTGTCGTCTTTTCCGTCTGGTGCCTCCTCTTCCTCCTTCGCTCCCAGTTCCTCCACAGCCAGACCGACCCTTCAGGTACGTACCCACCACGATCCACCTCCTCTCATGCTCATGGATCGATCGATCAATGTCGTCATGTCACCCATGGCGTTTGATTGATTGTAGATTTCTACGACGACGTGGAGGACGGAATGCGCGAAAACTACTGCAAGGTAATGCCGCTGGAGGCCTACATTTTCCCGACCGAGTATAACGCCTCCGCGGCCGCGCCCACGTGCCAGCCATCGTTGCACCCGCCGGATCAGCCGCAGCAGGAAACTGACCACCGGAGCCTGGAGCCGTTCAACAACACAACCGGCGGCAAATCGTCAGCGGAGGCGGCGGCGCTCGATGAGCTCGACGAGTTCCGGAGCCGGATCCTGCAGGGCAAGGCCGAGAACGGCCGCGTCCCCGACGGCGCGACGCCGGCGGCCCACCGGCTGGAGCCGAGCGGCGCGGAGTACAACTACGCGGCGGCGTCCAAGGGTGCCAAGGTGCTCGCCCACAACAGGGAGGCCAAGGGCGCCGCCAACATCCTCGGCGGCGACAAGGACCGGTACCTGCGCAACCCGTGCTCCGCCGACGACAAGTTCGTCGACGTCGAGCTGTCGGAGGAGACGCTGGTGCGCACCATCGGCCTCGCCAACCTGGAGCACTACTCCTCCAACTTCAGGGACTTCGAGCTGTACGGCAGCCCGAGCTACCCGGCGCCGGCGGAGGAGTGGGAGCTGCTCGGCCGCTTCACCGCCGACAACGCCAAGCACGCGCAGCGCTTCGTGCTGCCGGACCCCCGGTGGACGCGCTACCTCCGCCTCCGCCTCGCCACCCACTACGGCTCCGGCTTCTACTGCATCCTCAGCTACCTCGAGGTGTACGGCATCGACGCCGTCGAGCAGATGCTGCAGGAGATCATCTCCGGCTCCGGCGCCGACACCGACGCCTCCGCCGCCGCCAAGGCCGAAGAGGGCGGCGACGGCGGCACCCTCCGCAACGACACCGCGCAGGTCAACGCAAGGCTGGACGGCGTGGGAGGAGGAGGAGGAAGCGCCGCCGGCCGGAACGACAGCGCCGGCGACGGCGCGGGCGCCAAGAACAACGGCTCGAGGATGACGGTGGCCGGCGACGGGAAGCCGGCCGCGGCGGGGCGGTTCCACGGCGACGCCGTGCTCAAGATCATGATGCAGAAGATGCGGTCCCTGGAGCTGGGCCTCTCAACGCTGGAGGACTACACCAAGGCGCTCAACCACCGGTACGGCGCCAAGCTGCCCGACCTCCACACCGGCCTCTCCCAGACGACCATGGCGCTCGACAGGATGAAGGCCGACGTCCGCGACCTCGTTGAGTGGAAGGGCAACGTGGTACAAAACCATCACCATTGATTGATTCCTGTAGCTTGTTGACGACAGCTGAAACTTGTCATCATAAAATTAATCCACCAAATTCGCTTTGCCATTTGTTGTTGTTGATCAGGCCAAGGATCTCGGCGAGCTCAAGGAGTGGAGGTCAGCCGTGTCCGGCAAGCTGGACGATCTCATCAGAGACAACGAGGCGATGAGGCAAGCTCTCTGTCTCTCCAGCTGCGATTCTCCATTTGTTCGCAGAAGGCGCTACGGATTCTTGATGAGAATTGTTGTGTTGGGTGCAGGTCGAATGTCGAGGAGATGAGGAGCATCCAGGAGACGATGCAGAACAAGGAGCTGGCCGTGCTGTCCATCAGCCTCTTCTTCGCGTGCCTGGCGCTGTTCAAGCTGGCGTGCGACAGGGTGCTGTTCCTCTTCACCAGGAAGGGGGCGGCGGCGGCGGAGAGGATGTGCGGGGCGAGCAAGGGCTGGATCCTCGTACTGGCAAGCAGCAGCTTCACTACTTTCCTAGTGCTGCTATACAACTGAAGCCCACCCAACTCACCTTAGGAACAGCTTTTCTTTTCTTTTTTACCATTTTTCTGCTAGCTTTGTCGCCACGTTCTCCTGTAGAGCTTGTCCCGGTTGATCTACGTTAGGTTGTTGTTAGCCTGGCTGTTACCGAGGAAGTACTAGTGATTTGGAAATAAAAGTGCCGGTATTCAGGAAGACCCCGGTTCTATAAGTAAGATAATTAGATATTCATTGTTTAAAGCAAACTCTAACGAGCAATAGAACAGTACTGACGCTTTCATCGTTTCTAGCTGCACAACATGATGTATATGCCAACATCAACAGAAAGGCATTTTGAACGAGCGACAAACTTGAGTCTTGCAGTTTGAGATGGATTCAAGAGAACAAATAAATGACAATTTGACGGGTGGGGCAAGATGGAATTTCAGTATTTCACATTACAGGACACCAAAATGGCAATCGAGAGATCGAGCAAATTATTGAAGCAGTGTTGCAACGATGTGCTCGTCTTGGCTGACATCCAGCACTAGAAAGACTTTCCATAAACAAAATTGTGAAAAGGCAGGAGGTATCTTTGTCATTTCGACAAGCATCAGCTAACAGTGTATTTTATAAACCAGGTCTTAATCAGAACTCTTCTAGACCTTATAGCCGGTTATGGTGAATCCTCTGCCAACAATCTCGCCTACGCAGAACCACGCATAAAGCTCAACTCCAAATAATGTCACAATTCCAAGGTCCTCTACCTTGAGCTCCTTTCTATTCTTCCATACCTGCTTGACACCATCAAATTCCTTCCAAAATGCCTCATAGCGGCCTGGCAAACTGAAGAAAACAACAGCCATATAAGTCATTGAGATCAGAGCTCCAAAGTAAACAAGCATAGTAACGAAGGCATATTCACAATGCAGAATCGATGACTTGACTTGTTCAAGAAAATATGGCAGACACCCCCCCCCCACCCCACCCCCCAAAAAAAAAGAAAAAGAAAAAAAGGTTAAAAGCACAATGCTCCACCCAAGTTGATACACATTCATAAATACATGCACAATTGCTTTGCCTATCAAGTGCAGACCTTGCAACTTCTCCATCCAACAATCCACAACAAGCACGTGACTGGTCCCTATGCATATGCATCTAAGGGCTAACATGACATCTTAATTAATCATTCAAAGTTAAGAGTAAACAAATCCAGTTTACCCAAAGTTCGTCAATCCGTTCATTTCCCTCATGATAGGTAGACATGGGCACCGGCAAATCACAGAAGATGTGTCCCGTCCATCTCATTGTCTCATGCATGCTCTTTGGACCAGCCTGAATTGACCAGTATAGTTTCAACCTGGTGAGCCCTAATTCTAACATCACAGCAGAAGATGGTCAAAAGGTACACCATCTGCTACAGTATTGGAGATAGTGCCTTGATTAAGAGCCCTAATGAAAAAAAATGGAAACAACATACAAAATTCTAATGCAAAAACGTGTAAAAATAAAAATAATAGCTGCTCCTGACCAACCTCAAAACATTTCAACATCAATTTATAACACGTGAAGAAATTGCTCAGCCTTAATTTAACAGACGTGATTGCTAGCCAGAATTATCAATCATGACTTGAAACATTGCAGACAAGATACTAACTAAATCGCATGTTATTGGTTGCACATCATGTATACAACAAAGTTCTGTAAACCAGACTGATCAGTGATCACTGACCTAGCCAGTTTGTTCTGTCATCAGCTCCCACACTGAACAACACCACTCATCAAACCATGTACACAAACAAGGATTAGCATCATTATACAGCAATCAGAAAAAACAATGTTCGTCACAATAATAAAGCAGGCTAAAGTGCGGCCACTGGATTGGGATTCAAGAAATAACTTTTCCGTGATAAAGCCTAATATTGCATCCACACTTGAATTGTTGTCACTTTTTTTATTCTAAACACAGCTGGTTGCCAAGTGAAAAAGAATAGAAGACTGAGGCCCAGAAAAGCATTCATCTTATCCTACAGATTTATGACAGAGCTGTACCTCTATAACATTCTCAGAACAGACAATGGACTAATGTAGATTTTGTATTATAGTTCATAGTAATTAGGTAAATCCCATAAAGTAAATTGGTAATAGATTTTACTGCAATGCCTTTTCTGCAGAAACAAACAAACAAGAAATAATTTCAAACATACTGAACAAACTGCTAATGTAATTACCACAGCAATATTGATATAAGTTCATTTCTTAAATCATACAAAATACATACCATTCCATTTTGTCATTATGTATCATCCACAATAGATTTCACATTTCACTCGGTGTATTTGACTTCTCACACTTTCGCCTAACAGTAATGCATCGTTCTATGTCTTCATGAACCATGGATCCAAGCAAAAATACAAAGGTAACAAGGAATATACAGTAAGAGCCTCAGGTATATCATACTTATTGCATAGGTTTCTTTTGTTACAAACTTTCAAAACTGACAGATTATGGGTCTTACAGAACTCAGTGCCTGCATGACCAGATGAAATGCACTCTTAATAAGTAGTTCCATAATTAATACTGTGCCTATCCTCTTTCACCAAATTATTGAGCATAGCAAGTCTGACCAAAACAATGTACTAGCAGGTAGCGTATTTCAAGGAGAACATCACGCATCCCACAGGCCAAAACATTCAAACAGCCTCATAACACATGGTTACGAGCTCTCCGAAGTTTATACATGCAACAAGTTACACAAGCACAATTCATAAAGGGAGGAGCGTGTGAACAAATGGTCAACTCAAATGATTAAGATTTATAAAGTGCAAGTATGGAAGGGAGCTCTCAAACCCCTAATAGGTCATGACAACAACAAAAGCACAAGTGCACAACCAGACTACCAGACAACAAAAAAAAAACCCATCGTCTAGCGAAATCTACTAACCACTATGTAGGCTCACCCTGACTACCCAAATTGCAGACCATGAGCAGAGCAAGCCATACCAAATTCAGGTTAAACTAGAGTAATCGGAGGCACGATAATTTGGATACCCACCAATTATTGGCGAATTTTCGATCGTGCCAAGCTACATTCGTCGGAACACCCAAGCCTGAACACCCCCCCCCCCCCGGCGCGCAATTGCCAACAGATCGCAACACACCGCCAACTACGAAACAGCGACCAAATGGAGCCGCATGAACAGGCACAGCGGGGGTGAAATCCGGGGATCACCTGGCGAGGCGGGTGTAGAAGAGCTGCTTGGAGAGCTCCTGGCACTTCTCCACGGTGGGTGGCTGCACCACGTGCTGCTTGTTCTTCTCCATCACCTCCTTGTAGTAGGCGCACCCGTGCTTCGACACGAGCTCCGACGCCTGCGCCGCCTTGGACCGTAGCTGCGCCAGCCTCGACGCCATCGCCTGGAGACACACACACCCACACCCACCAACCAAACCCAACACCACACCACACACGCGGATGGAAAAGAGAGAAACCGAGTCAGATCGAACGGGGAAAGCAGATCTGGCCGCCGCGCCGATCCGGGACTCGGAAGGGCCAGCGAGCGGCGGGCGGATCGGAGGGGCTAGGGTTTTGGGGGGGAGTGATTGCTACCGTGGGTGAAGCGCCGGGGAGGGGAGAGGAGAGGTCGCGAGGTGGATGGGGGATCCGGGGCGAGGTGAGGTGAGGAGGAGGAGGACGGCGAGATGGGTGCGGGGGGATGGGAGGAGAGGGGAAAACGGTGGGTGGGGTGGGGTGGGGTGGATGGGAGGGTAGTTTCGTCCGTCTACTTGTTGGTTAGGGTTTTTCTTCGCCTCCCGGCTCACTGTGCAGCTGCGTCTTGTTATTGGGCGCGCGTTGAGATCCGTGCTAGTAGATGATGGTGGGAGAAGGAGATGCGTTAACACAGGGTTTACTATTCTGACGAAATACCGGATTTCACGAAATTTCCATGTTTCGACAAACCTTGGAAGTAGAAACTGTCTGAGATTTCGAGAAGTTTCATCCAAATTCAAATTTGAATTGATAAAAAAAGAAAAAGATCAAATAAAATCTTATAACTACAATGATATTTATAGAACCTATTAGGATAAAAATTTTCAAAAAAAATGATGTATTATGTGTATTTATTGAAACTTACATCAGGAAAGAAAAGAGTAAAGAATTAAAAAAAGGAAAACACTTAGGGTCTGTTTGGCACAGCTCCACCCTCCTGGAGCTGGAGCTCAGCCAAACAGTTTCAGCTCCACCAAAACTGGGAGTGGAGTTGGGTGGAGCTCTCTCACAAAATGTACTAGAGTTGTGGAGCTGGGTTTAGGCAGCTCCACAACTCCACTCCAGACTCAACTCCTGGAGTAATATTTAGGAGTTGGAGCTGTACCAAACAGCCCCTTACATGGGCCAAAACCGACCGGAATTAAAAAAAGGAAAATACTTACTGATCGAGATTTCGATGATTTTGATCGGGATTTCGCCAAAATCGACCGGTTTTCGAGAACTTATCGGCAAACTCAGGGAATTTATATTCAATTTTCGGTTTATAAAATTTGTTCGGAATTTACCGGTTTTTCACCGGATTTCATGAAATTTCAAATTCCGCCAGTGCCCGAAACGGAAATTACTGTCGGAATCATAAACCCTGCTTTGAAATCCTACTACGTACTGATTGCTATACTAATTATTTGTGTGATGTATATCTGTGAAGTACTAACCGGTAAGGTTATAATGTATGAACGTGTTTAAAGGCATATTGATATTTACCAAAATAAAAGAAAAGGAATTATATATTACATTGTGAAATGTATAATCAACCGTTTCTTCAAGGTATCAAGGAAAAGCATGTATGCTTTCTTTGGATATGTGATTTGACTAGTGAAGTGGCTAACAGATATGATTAGATATCCGCAACAGTTTTTTTTGTTGTTTACAAAAATTGCTTACTTTCGTGGTGAAAGAGTCCAGAGTATAAGCAGGTGTCTAGATGGGGCTAAAATTTTTTAACCCATGTCACATCAGATGTTTGGACGCTAATTTGGAGTATTAAACATAGACTAATAAAAAAACTAATTTCATAAATGAGAGCTAATCCGCGAGACGAATTTTTTAAGCCTAATTAATTCATAATTAGAAAAAGTTTATTGTAACATCACATTGTCAAAATCATGACGTAATTAGACTTAAAAGATTCGTCTCGCGAATTAGTCCAAGGATATGGAATGAGTTTTGTAATTAGTGTATGTT